ATTTCTGTTTCTACCAAAAAGTTTATTCATTTGTTTACACGGTAGTAAACGCGTTAAAGAAAAATAGAAGAATTTATTGATCATCGATCGATCTTTTAATCCGGTACAATCGATCGCAAAGGGTGCAGGGTACAAAAGCTCGGGCAGGATAGAGGAAACGAAATGACAGAGAACAAATGAGAATCGTCCAATAAAGAGAAGGGATCCGGTTGAAGATTCGCCGGACGTACGTAGATGAAAATTCCAAAGTCAAGAGGAAGGTCTAGGGATAAGAAGGAGAAAGCGGTCCGTTTCTGAAAGGAGGCAGGATTCGGAGAAGAAAACCGAAAGGTTGCTCCTTTCTCTATTTCTCTCCGCAAGAGGACTCTTTGGCTGGCTTTCATTCCGTCGCACAATCGATCGATCTTCGATGTCTGTTGCCTAGACCAAGGATCAAAAGGACTAGGAAAACCCGAGACGAGGAAAAAGGACACCCTAGAGAAAGGTTGAGGAGTGGCGGACCATGAAGAAACTCCAGCCCCATTTCACGGATGCGTAACAATAAATCAATAAAATGGGGATTATACGAGCATAAGAATATTTATTTTAACAAACCATTATTTAACATTTATTTTAGATTACTTAAAAAAATTCATTTCTTTTTCAACTTCTTCGAGATTTTCTCAGACGCTCCGCTTTAATTGAATCACCAGGGAGGGGTTGCGTTTTCCAGAAAATTAGATACACTTTCACAGTAAAGTGGCTCACGTGTAACTGGTATCACCCTGGCTGGGTCACCGAACGATCGGTCGCACGAAGCGTACTCGATGAGATCGTTCATGCGACGACTTACGTGGATACGAGTGGTCGAATGATTTATTTATTCCATGTCAAGTTTCTACGACAATTTTACGCGAGAACGTTCTGTATCGTGGGAGTAAAGAACACCATTCGTGAGACCACTTATAGCACAGTGCAATGATATTAAATAAAAAGTATTTTTTAATTTCAACAAAAACCCCATGAGCATGAAGATACAATTCATATTACGAATGAACCTAGGAAAAGATTCTTCCCACGAGCAAACAGAAAATTACCGCATTAATACGGAAAAGTGTTGTTTACCTGAAACAAAGGAGAAAATAAGAATGAAGAGAAGAAATACGGGAATTAAAGTCAGTAGTTTCATTTTCGATTCAACGAAGAGAGATTAGCGGAAGGCAACACCGGGCTACTATGAATGTAATGGATACGAGGATGGTGATTGTTGCGTGGACAATGGCGTTTAGCAATTATTTTAAAGCGCCGCTCGAAACAATAAGACCCGTCTCGTATATAGTAACCTGCTCCATATTCGAGCTTTGACGCTCAGAATGGCTCATAATAACAGCAGAAGCGGTGACTAAGGACGAACCGAGACAACCCGTCTCTCTTCCTTCAATCTTCATTTATCATGCTTTCATTGTTCCCAGCCACTGGCTCATATTATATCCGTTTAATTCACGTGCTTCAGCTTCGTTACCTTTCGAGAAGACTACGTTGAAAAATCATTAGAACTTTGGGGAAATAGAATTCAGGTCAATCGGGGTACTTGACCCGGACCATCCTACCATGAACACGTTTCATTAAATTTATTATCAAATTTAATAATAAATGACAGATTTAATTGCTGTTATTGAGATTGTAATTAAATATTTTTCATGATATTAACTTTTACAGGGGGTTCAAAAATTTCTAGATACACTACTTTATCTTTAAATATAATTTTGTACGAATAATTTATATTAGATACCGAAAGTTTAAAATTACAGAAATCATCGTGGCGTCAAAATTTTAAATTAGGTTCACTTAGGTGATCAAAGGGTTAATTAGTAACGACAGATGTGCGAAGTCAATAAATATTGGACTCAGGAATTATCCTCATTTCTGTGAACAAATGAGAATATTTCGAAACTTCATAACCCGGAACTGAAGTCGACGGCTCGATCGAGCGAATTAACATAGAAATACCCCTGTTATTGCGAGTTGAACGACATTACCATCGTTGATTGTTTCCGTAGCTGGTGGTGCACGGTGAAACGTAACCAGCAACAAGGCAACAAGATCGACCCTTGCCGCTCGTTTTCTCTGCATCTTTCATATCCTCGACCGACGACCGTTTCGTCCCACGAGTCCTCCGGGATCTCGTGTTGAAAATTGAAAGGCCACCCGTCCCGTTGAAACAACCGGACGAGGGGAGTGCCTCGTGAAAGAATAACGAAATAATATAGAAAGGATCTTCTTCGTTTGCGAGACTCTGCCTTCTGATTCATTGCGAAATTCAGGGAAAATATCTTGACGAAATCGTGCTCATTGAAGGAAGATGAAAAGCATCCCAGTAAACTTGAAGCATTTGTTGAGGATTTCTTGGTTTCTTTGAGTGTCCTGAATTTTTTAAGCAATTATTAATTTTCCATATTTAAAAATTTAGAAATATTTGAAATAGAAATTGTAACTGTTAGTTTAATTTTTTAACCATTTTTTTAGTGATAAGGCTATCAATTGGAACTTTTATACGAATCTGCATAATTTATAAAATACTTTTATCATCGCGTTATGAGATTGAATGTATTATGATATTTGAAACTACAATTCAATATTAAATTGCTAATTGGTAATTATATCCCCGGGATATTTAATAACGATTGAATTTTCTATCGCTATCAAAATTAATTAACAAATTTGACAGCGTGTCCGAATCGATTCTTCTTGTGTGATTAAATTCATTCGAGAGGATAAAACGATCCCTAGCTCTAATTAATTTCTACAGAAAAGGAACATCGTCCTGTCGTTTCATTAGGACCCATTCAATGTCAGACGACATTTTTGCGGACAATTTCATAATTATTATGTGCATTGAATAGTTATCGAAGGTAGAGAATGATTCGAGATAGCAATCGGGATTTATTCAGTCAACGACAAACGAGTCGAAAATGAAACACGAAACGTTGTCACTCGCGGTGCACGTTAATGGCAATATTTAACTGGTCGCTTACTAAGTAATTTTTCAGTAAAATATCAGCACGATTAAACCCGTTTGAATATGTAAAATTTATATTTCATGCGAATCAATCGCTCAATTTCAATCTTTTCATCTTTCGAACATCGAATTCATTTAATTCATAACACGTTTGTCCGATACAAAAATAAAAAATTAAAAAAATTCGTATTACTCCAAGCGATTTATAGTTTCATGTAAAATGATTTTACAATTTTTTATCGAGGCACAGTGTTCAATAAACTTGCTAGAATTATTTTACCATTCGATAAAAGGTCCTCGATAAATGTCATTCCACATCTGAGAATTCTTTCATCGGCTATTCCAGAGATCGTCTACGAGCTGTTTTCAATCGAATCGACGATATCAAGGCGAAATCCTGATGCTAAAGGACGAAGGATCAAAAGAAGGACTAGCGGTGCACAGCGAGCTTTTCCTCCTTTGAACTGTCGCAAATGTTTTCTTCGAATTGAACCCATTTTCCTTCGCGATGGAAAATGTATACATAGGCACCGGTATAAAGATCCTTAAAAGTGATCAAATTTTAATCCTTTTCAGATGAATAAAATAATCTGTGTGATAGGTATTAATTCATTTTTTTCAATTGACGATATTCAAATATTTAAATTATGAAAAATTATTTTTAATCATTAAAAAATTATTCTTGTGAACATAGAAGAGTCAAAATTAATTCTAAGCTTTTCTAATGTAATAATTTTATTTCAATCCTTTCATTTTAATGTAAATTTTTTAGATTCAAAATAGCTTATTCTGAATCATTTTTCTAAAAATTATTCCATTATTCTAGAAACCTCCTTCTATATTATCATATTTCAACCCCTATTTGAAAAATCACCGAGCATCAACAGTTTAGTCGAGTAATCAATCTCCAAACATTCAATCTGAAAAAGAAAATCAACCCTGAATATTTTCACAAAATTCCACGGGTTTCGCAGTTCTCGAATCTTTCTATCGCAGTGGTCGTAGAGGATTTTCGAGAGTATCCAGCACCGCAAACCGCTTTCAATCAGTGATATCGGTACCGGTGGTTCAAGGGTGGAAGATTTCCCGGCGCGAAGGGCGTTCGAATCAAAAGGGAAGACAAGGCAAACGACCAACATTTCCCTTTTCCCGAGCGTGCTGTGAATGCTTTTTCCTCTCGCTCTATCGTTTTCATCCGCTAGAATAGAGAGTATATCGAGAACCGATCATCGATTGTATCGAGATGAAGGCGAATGAATAGTTCTTCCACGTCATACCATAGACGAAGCTTTTGGAATCAAACTTGCAATGGTTCTTTTGGAAAATTTCATTTACAATGGAAAGGAACACAGTTACATTAATAGATCGATAATTCTCCGTATTTGAAATTCTCTAACCCGTCCAACGAGACGAGTCAGTGTATGTATGTTTACAAATACACGCGCTCGACGCAGGGTCGGAGCTCAGTTGTTTTCAGTTCTTCAAACGTTTCGGTCGAGGTTTGTGTACTGTGAGGCGAGCCTGCTTCAAGCATGTGAATTTTTATATACAGGGTGTCCCATAACTGGTGGTACAAGCGAGTAGAGGGTGATTCTACGTGAAAAATTGAATCGAAAATGTAGAATAAAATTTTTTTATTTTCGAAAGAAATAAGTTTGAAAATTTATCGAGTACGCGTGCACTTGGACCAGCTTCAGCCTCAGTAAACATTGCAATAAGCACGGAAGTACTCTCCTACTCGGAACAGTAAGATGCTCAATAAATTTTCAAACTGATTTTTTTCGAAAATAAAAAATTTTTATTCTACTCGCTTGTACCACCAGTTACGGGACACTCTGTATTTACTATCTCGTCTCGTTGGATGGACTATAGATGCGAACAGTTTTGACAAATGAAAAATGATCGAGGGTCGTAAGCACGAAACGTTTCTATAATGATAGGGAATTAACGAGCTCCTATTACGATTTTTTCTAATCTAACATGAATGTATTTTTGATTTCAGGAAATAAACTGATCTGCGACTGTAAACTGGCATGGATCTGGGGGCTGAGGAACGAGACGAAGAACCAGAAGCTACGGGACGGCCTGGAGAAACTCACTTGCTTCCTGGAGAGCCATAACACGACTCTAAAGACCAACAACGAGAACCTCGAATGGAACGAGGCACTCGAGATTGCACGAAATCAAGGTGAGTTCCCATCCTTTCCTCCCCCAAACGTTACACGCACCCCTCCACTTTCTTATTCATTGTATTACGAGATTTTGCGAGTGGAATCGTTGATGTTGTCCTCCTTCTGAATACCATATTCAAAAGAGGCCGGTCTCTGTTCTTCTGCTTTTCTCCTCTCGAATTGAAAGAATGGTCGACGAAGAGCTTGCACGTTTCGCTTCGTTCATTCTGCTGAAAGAATAAGAAAACTACTTTCTTCCGAGTTTTCTTTTCTATTGTTTTATTACACTCTTCATCCGATTCTTTGATGTATGAATTAACTTCTATTGTCTTTGGGTTGGCGCGATGATTGTAATGAAAAATTAGCGGGAAAGGAATTTCATAGCCGTTGTAAGCTCGTGGAATTATTTTTCACGGATTATTCATATTAATGAGACGAATTTTTGCGAATGGAATATCATTCTTTTTGTTCACTTTTGTTTACCAAATATTTTCTGTTTATTATTTCCGATACCGATACGGGATTTAATTCTGCACGAATAAACCGTCCGCAGTACAATTTCTTTACAAATCGAACAAAACTTTTGTAACGTGAATCAGTGATTCGTTAAATTTGCTTTTCATTTATTCCATCAATGCACCATTTGCCATCGCTATTGCACAGAGATAAAAGGAGTAATTTCAACTGAAAAACCTTTAAGAATATTAATATTGTGTTACAGTTAATTCGTTCAAAGTTTGATATTAAAGTGTAGAAATACGAGGGAATTTTATTTATTTTATTTCTTTTTGAAAACTATAGAAATAAAATTTTTTTTAAATTATACATCAAAGAGCTGAAAGAGGATGGGTATTTTTAGTTTGACAACGAAATTTTTGTTCGAATGGAAAAGCAACAAGCTTAAACGCATTTTCAACGGTGGCTCGATATGCATTTTGTTGAAATTTTCGGTTCTATGTGCTGTTACAGAAGAATATCTTGCTGGAAACTCAAGAGGTGGTAACATCGACGACGACGACGCTTACTTGGGCGACGAGTACGAGAGTAAAGATGGATACGAGGATTCCCCCTCAAATTCCGATTTTCAGCCGAAGGTAAGATATACGTTTACCTTTCTATATTTTTCTTCCTCCCAACAGAGGAACGGAATCAATTTTCCTTCGACTCGCTCCTTCTTAAAATTTCCTTTCGAATTAGAGCTTGTGCTCTTAGTTTTCTTATCTGGCTGTCGTTTATTCAGCTGCTTATGCACTTTGCAAGTCTTTTAGGAAGTAAATATTGTTACAGTGATGTATTTGTAGTAGAAAAATCGGAGAGGTTACCATTATTGCATAAACCATTAGAAAATTAAAGAATTGGGAAATTAGGAAATAGGAAATAAAGAAATTAGAAAATTAGAAAATCAAAATTTCCAAGTAGCAATGCATCGATCTCCACCCTGACCGATAAAATTCAAAGTCTGCAGTTTGTAAAACGACAAAATCGCGTGTAAGGGATGAAACTTTAAAACTTAAAGTTTCCCTCGATTTCAAGGCACAGGACTCTATTCTTTCGAGAGAAACTGTTGAAAAAGAAGAACAAAAATACGAGAGACCCAGGGTGTATAAAACGAAGCTCCGAAGCTTCTTATCACGAAGCTCGACTACCTTTAGTTCTCTCTCGTTGTTCGACGTGCACGGAATTTCACCCTGGCTATTTTTTATTCAAATGGACGTCGAACGATAATACAGATAAGCCAGAAGCTCGTGACGATTTTTCGAAAATCGAATGACCGCGATTCGCTGCAATACTCTCTCTCTCTCTCTCTTCATTCGTTTTTTTCAACAAAGATTTATCGAGTCATAAAACAAGCGTTGGAGAATCGAATCGAGTTTAACAGAGGCCAGATCGAATTTGTTTAACCAACCAACATTTTTATATAGCAACATACAATTAACAGAGAGTCGTCTATTTCCTATTTTCGTTTGTTCTCGCTCGATTACGATCGCCATAATTCATCCCATGTTTTTCAGTTTTCTTTTGACAGCTGTGAAATCGATTTCGAACAAATATCCTGTGTACGTATACATATTTTTTTTTTCTGTTCCTATGTTGATACCATGTCGAACGGAAAATGATTTTTTACGATTGAGAAACAGAGGATGTTGAGGGGTGAGAAATGTGTATATAAAATTGTGTTTCGTTGTTCGATAGGGTGGAATCGATTTTGGGAGATTTTAACTGGATTTTCAGGGATTTGTTTTGATTGCTTGTACAATTGAACAATCGCCCTTTTGATTTTTCAAAGAGGAATTTGAATTGTGGGAATCTGGGCCAAAGTGGTACTTAAAGTTTAATGTGACACAAAAATTACAAAATTAACAGAAACAAGCATTTTTAAATTTGATGAAACATTTTTTTGAAACAATTTCTTTTACTTTACAGTGTAAACCTTACCTTATCAAGGCAATAATGATTTTCAAACGTTTGTTTGTGTTTAATTATATTTGTCATGTAAACAGTATTTGATTTCACATTTCAGCAGGTTGTAACGAGTAATTTTACAAGTTCAATCGATTCGTTAATGCGTTCAACGGGAACTTTGGACTTTTAATCGGCACGTGAAATCCATGATAATTACTAGCAGTTCATTTCGTATACAGCAGAATCCCTATTAATCGGCTCGTGTAATGCGTACATCGAATTATCCTCGGCTATTTTCCCGCCGAAGAAATTAATTTCCAACTTTTTTCCAACGAGAAAATGGAACGCAGTAGCGGAGAAAATGGTCTTTTCTTTTATCGGAAATTCCTTTTCTTTTCTTTTCTATGAAAATTAAAAGTTCAATTAGCACTTTCATTTGCTATCTTTTAATAATTATAAAAAGTATAAAATTTTCACAATAATAAACTTGGGGGAAAAATTAAATATTTAAACTTTTCCAAATTCACAAACCTAAAACTCGTGTTAATCTTCCTCCAAAGTCATCAAAATCAAATCCTCTCAGATCCTCTCGATATTAATCATACAATAATCGAAAAATCTTTTCGTCTTTGTTCCAGATGCAGATGCAGATGCAGATGCTGGAAGGGAAGACGGTTTACTTGAAGACTTTATTCGATTTAAAATTAGAGGAACTTCCATGCCCGGAGCCCTCGAGAGAGGACTTAATGGCATCCGAGCAACCCTCGGGTCGCCACGAGAACGCTCGTGTCGGTTCGTCAGGGTCTATCTGGTCCTCTTCATCGTCCAAACCTGTTCATCTCGATTTATCCGTCCTCGCGTGTTCCCTGATTCTTTTGTTGTCGGTATTATTCACGTAGAAGAGGCTTTGCTCATCAAACGACCCACGAAACAGATCAGAAGGACGGCCCGTGGACGAGGACGAGGACGTTTCTCGGTATTCTGAAATATAAGCGTGTATTATCTAACGAATCGCGCTGGTGTGTGCGTGTGGGTGTCGTGTGTGTCCTTAGAGACTCGATGATGATCTAACGAATTTAGGACACTTCGAACGGCCTGTACGAAATGAAAATGAAGGAGGTGGCTCTTCGTCGTCTCCTAAGAGGTCATCTTGTTATCAATGGAATCTTTTTGATGGGACTTCAGTATGTTGATGATAATTGGTGGATGATAATTGGCTCATGATTTTTTAGAAATTGAGTATATTTTCAATTTTTTAGACATTTGACAAAATTTAATTGCTAGGTAATTAAAATTGTAACTTAAAATTCCAGGTGGACATTGCGAATAATTTAGAGTTCGAAGCTGATAATAATTTCAAAATTAAATCTTCAATTTTGGAAGAAAAATAATAATTTAATTGCTAATTAATATTGGAGATTGAAACTTCAAGTAGATGTTTTGAAGAATTAAAATTAAAATGTGAGCTGATGATACTTTTAAGTAATGAAACTTTCAAATTTTGGAGAAAAGAGACTGGAACTTCTCATATATTTAGAAAATTTCACTTGGATAATATAAAAATGAAATTTTAATTTCTATTTAAAAAGGCACCATCAATCAAAGCTCGTGAGCTGTCATTTTGACAAACAGCTAGAAGTGTGTCTGGAGTTTGACGGAGACGACGTTGAGTCGAATCACTTGTTTCTTTCCGACGATCAGGATGCCACGAGTGATTCCATTGTCGTGAAAGTATCATTCAAAAGCTTGTGAATCGGTGAGGACACGTCGGAAACGTGGTGAATTGGATATCGAGCGTGATACCACGAGAAAACACCAACGCCTGGAAGTGTTTGAACATCTTCAAAAGAAGGTACACTCTGATTCAATTTCTATATCCTGACCTAGTATATCTTTTTAGTAAACATTTTTTTTCGGGGTATCTCTTATTCTGACGATTCTATTCTTTAGAATATTTATATACTCGTTGGGAAAAAGTCTTCGTGATAAGATCCTGAAACATTTCAAAGAATTTTCTTTTATAAAATTATAAATATCTATATTAATCAAATTTTTGAAGAATTTGAATTTTTACAAGAATTTTTAATTAGAATTAATTTTTTGTCTATTTCTATGATATTTATTAATGATTCTCTTTCGTTTATCAATTTAGTAATTAACGCACAAATTTTAATATTCCCATTATATAATATTGACACCCTCTTTGTATTAACAAAAGTGTTTGATATTAACAAAGGTACTTTACCGCGTTAAAATCATAATTAATATTGAAGATATTCTAATCAAAAGGGACATTAATATGTCGAACCTGCTAAAATTGAATAATTTGCATTTCGTAATTAATTGTAATATCATTGCTCATATAATGGAAACAACAATCGTCCCCTATTATGTTCATAAAGATGGGATATATTGTTGAGTCAAATGGACCCTTTTACAATAAATCCCACAGATAAAATGCAGTAAAATTTTTATTCCAATTTGAATAAAATTCAATACGAAATAAATTCTACAAATATTGTTAGGTCAAATAGACCGTTTCACAGTAAATTCCACAAAAATAATCCAATAGTAAAATTTTTAATTCAATTTAAGTAAAATTCAAAATGAAATATATCAAAATACGAATAGAAATAAATCTTCTATTGTCTGGTCAAAATATTTTGAAGTCCAGTGAAACGAAGACTTTTTCGATCGAGTTCAGATCATCGTCGCTTGCCTTGTTCGCATACACGCAAACGCACACACATATAAGATTGTTTTCCACGAGGCCATGGCGATTTCAGGCCAAACGTGTCGGTTCTCGCGAGAATTTCGTTTCACTCGCGAATCGAGTTCGACGATGGGAATGGAAGAAAAGTTGGTCGGTGGACGATCCACGTTTAGTCAATTCCCCGTGCAATCGCGCCGGTTTTATCGGCGTCGAGATCGTCGTAGATCGAGAAACTCTCGAATTTCCGTGTCCCCGTCGCCTTTGAAACGCACAAAACTTTTCGAGACTCGAAAACTCCTTGAAACGATCGTTCCAGGAGTGGCAACGTTACCACCAAAAATCTCTTACCGATTTCAAAATCATCCCATCACTGTCCATTTCCTTTTTTCCATTCGAAATCGAAATGAAAAATTTCAATTCATCATTTTTATATCAATGATCTCGACGTCTACGACGATTCGAATTTCCGGTGAATCGTATTTCCGGCTTCAGCAGAATCGCGACTATACATAAGATGAATAAATTACCGAAAATTTCGAGGCGTCGTGATCGTTCCCTCCGAATCGTGTGTACGTCGTCCCTTCGTCTCCGTCGAGGCTCCTTCAGCGAGCAACGTGTTAATTGCGACGCCTAATTGAACGTCAGACAATCGAGAGCGGGCTCGTCGCCCTGAACAGAATCTTCGTACGGAATTTTCTATGGTGTACAGCCGGACGAGGTGTAAAACGAGACGATAAAAGAGCTGCGTGCTCGAGGAATCGATGCCTCACGATGATATCGTCGTTGCTTTTGTATCATAGACGAGCGTTTCTTCTTCGGATGATTATCTGTGAGTACCTTTGTTTCCGCTTCATTTCAAAATCTCACCCTCCCACTTTATTTTTTATTGTGCCATCCCTTAGATGTTAACTTATTATTCATAGCTGTTAGATAGAAGGATTTTTAGGCTACTGTACATTGCTCGTGCGATTTTCGTGGAAATTGTTTAATTTCTTTCTTTGAAGTTGTTGGATTACAGTTCGACAAAATTACGATATATTAAGTATCGATTTTTAATAATTTTAACAAATTTTCAATTGAGAAAATATAAAAGGTATGGAGTTAATTTACATAAATTACAAAATTGAAAATTACCAATTTTTTGAAAAGTCAAAACTCTTATCCATCGTCTTCAAATCGGCCGAACATTTTCCACGAAAAGCACATTAAATTTATGACCAAATATAATCACGCCTAAGTTCGATCGCCTTCTAATTAACTAAATTAGCAAATCCTGTGTGAGATCGATGGACCACGAACGAACTTGTCGAATCAATCGCCGATTTCAATTGTTTCTCGCTAGAAATGGTTCCCCGCGTCGCTTTTATCGTAACGTGAAACGAACGAAGAATGATAATCCATCGTGTCAGGAAATTGGTCCCTGATAAGGTGGACGACCGATTGATAACGTGGAGTATCGCTTGCCCCAGCGCGATCTAGCAAACAGAGGACAGAATAGCTAAAAAAAAAAAAATTATCGATAATGTTGAGATTGTTTGTCATAGTATATGCGTTATCATAATATATAGAGTATCGCGATATATAGTATATGAATGGTCGGACTGCAAAATGACGTGGCCGGAGACGACGGGGTTTCAAGTTGATGGACATTGAAATTTGAAGATTTTAACCCTTTACAATCAAAAATTGGAAAATATAATATAATTGATTAAAGTGTACGGATTTATTTGAATGGGATGAATTTTAGAAATTTTCTGTAGGGAAAGGGTTGATTGAACAGTTTCTGATCGTAAAGGGTTAATCGCTTCAAGAAGAACAAGTATGGAAGTTGATCCAACGAATTATACCGTGAAAATCTTTTCTATTCTAATTCTATCTCACCAGTGTCGTTAAACAGTGGAAACGTGATATGGCGGAAGGATTATTTAAATGCTGGAGGAATATTTTGTTCAGAATTTCAAATAAATAATAAATAACGTTTCATTTTTTCAAAAAATTATTAGGTGGTTAAATAATTTTACCTAAATTATTAGGTGGTGATACTTTGAAGATAATTTCAAGGTAATTTAACAGAGTAGGTAATTTTAATAAATAATTATATTCAATTTATATTGAATTCTAATTGAAACAATGAATAAATGCAGCAGCTTGTAGTCTAAATTTATTCGTTAAGAAGGAAAATTAAATTAGCATGAAGGAGAAATCTCTTGGAATTTAATAAGATATTCCTGAGATAATAATTCGCAATCAGAAATACTGCTGTCAGTATTGAGAAACTTATTCCAATTATAAAAGAAAAATGTTAAAGTTTAAATTGAATAAAATACTCGAGTATTTCTGAAATATTCTTTAAAAAACGTAAGCTAAAAATATTACTCGTTAACGATGTAGATTCTGAATCCTCGAAAAAATTTTTTAATTAAATGAAAATTTGTACAGAAAACTGAATCAAAAAAGAAAATTATGAAGTCTTCGCTTAATAATCTGTTTAAATTTACAGGTTGAAGTTGAACTTCAAAGAACAATATACTTTTTTTTCTAAATATTATTTCGGATTCGCTGCAAAAAATTCTGTAATTAAGTGAACAATTTTAACAGAAAAAAATTACTCATTAGCTTTATAAAATATGCAAAGAACAATGTTTCCATGAATATCACAGAATTTTTATAAATTATAAATGAAAATTAATTTTGATTAATTGATTACCCTAGGGTAATAGGGTCATCAGTAATTAGCGCTAAAAATTTAATTTATTTGAGTAATAAGAGATTAAAATGGAGCATTAAAATAGCAATTCAATCTAGTTTATAACTAGTGTTTTTCTGAAAAAAAATCTCCTAGCAGTGTTTAATCCTTCTGTCATTTCGAGTGATTTTTGCTTAAACTCTTCATCATCGTCATTGTCGTCATCGTCAAAAGCGTCCTGCAAAATGGCATTTTGTGGCACGACGTCTGTTGTCAATCGAAACGCACGCACGCACGCGTACAAAGGGAGACAAAAAGATGAAAAAGTAGATATAAATATATATAAAGAGAGAGAGAGATGAAAGAAAAAGAGAGAACAATAGAATTATGCGGGGTTACCGCGTGCGCCACGTTATTCCGTAACACCTTGACTGCCGCAGTGGAAATGGCCATACATAGTACGGCACATTGTAATAACGATTACTATGCACACCATTATCCTAATTTTCACCTTTTAATTTTCTACTTTTACACTATTACCATTGTCTTAATAGGAGGGTATCTGTATCCTCTTTGACATTTAAAAAAGTGATTTATTTCAAAATCATTTTGCACATTTTTAGGTCTATATTCCATGTCAATTTTAATACTTTGATATTTTACTATAAAATACGAAATGATCAAAGGGTTAAACAGGCCAGTTATGAATATTTTCATTGTTAACACAAGATGTCATTAATTTTTAAAAAATTGATGAACCTATTAATTAAAAATATATTTTTCTCGTCTAGAAAATTTCCAAAAAATTATTTTCACCTGTCTTCTAGAGGTGATCTTGATTTAGCAAAGATAATATTTTGAAAAGACATCATCAGTAAAATGACCCTTTCATTCCCAAAATACTTATGGCAGTCATAGTGTTGAAATAGAACATCCACAACCCTGTAAGGGTGAAAACCATGAAAGCACGGTGGTCCACGTTTCCCATGATGTTTCACGTGCGTAGAGCGTTCTCATTAAATTCAAGATTTCAAGTGTTCTAGAGACGTGTTCCGAGTTTTTTCAATGATTCTCGATGATCATAATAGGATATAACGTAAGCTAGGCTTAAGTACAACTCTCTAACTTACTAATAAAGAAAAAAAGTCTGTCTCTGTCTCTCTCTCGCACACCGGAAACATATAAACATGCATACGTACACACATACACACACACATACAGAACACATGGATCCTCTGACAAAACAAAAAATAATAAAAACAAATATTAAGCTCGTAGGTACCAAAGATAAGGAAAGTTCGGTGTTAGTCGTTAGGATGCTCATTAACACAATGATTCATGGTCCGCCATTTGATCACAGTTGTCTTTAAAAACAAATATATTAAAAAAAAAAAGGAACGAGCCATTCAAAAAAAGGAACACGAGTGTCCAGCTGATATAAAAGTGACAGTGGTTGTCCTCATTTTTAAACGGACACAACGTGTTCCTTTTAACGACATTTTCTCATTCTTTCATTACGGTTTCTTTTGTTTTCTTCTTTGATTTTTTCATTTTTCGCAACAGCATCGTTGTTCGTAATTCAAGAAACGTCGAATCGTGATTATATAATATTGTATAACGTGATAGATACGTAGACGACCCTCCCTCTGTTCGCTCATTAACAACACGTATCTATCAACGTTTAAAGAGGATTTTTACCATTTTTTCTATAGACTCTGAACGATTAATTAATTTAAGGTAACGGGCGTGAGTGCGCTAATTGATAAGTTCTAAGGTTTTTGGATATTGTACTACTTATGGATTCACTGTCAAGCCGTAATATGTATTATATGTTCTTTTGTAAGATCTAAAGAATAAATAAATAAATCGTCGAGGAAACGGACTGCTGTCAAGGGATTGTTATTACAAAGTCTGCTGATATGGTAATTTGTCTTCTTCTATTTTTATTTTCTATGATTTATTAAACAAATACGAAAAAATAACATTTAATTATAATTAACAGTGTGATGTAATTGAAATTAATTGTTTTAGTTGCAATTTATTTCATCATAAAAATGTGTGTCCACTAATTTCAAGTGTAATCCTGATTTAATTGCTCAATTTATTTCACGTCTAATTTTAAAACGATGGTGATAAAGTTTCGCGCGCATTTAGAATCTCTTAGTTTTTCTATTTAGCATCCTCTGAGTACCTTGAAAATGTCCCACATTTAGCTGACACTTGGAAAATTCATTAGATCAATTCTCGAGAGCAGAGTTTGTTCTGTTCCTCAAAACCACTTAACAAAACATTTCTAAATCCATAATTAATTATCAAAATAAAAGGGTAAACTTTGAAATCATTCAAATGTTATTTTTCCCGTATTTCAAATTTGATAAAGAGCTCTCAATTTAATTTAATTATTAACCCTCGGACAGCGGACCATGTAGAGAACCCAAATTTAAATTTAATCATTTATTTCATATTATTTTCATTTTCTAAATTATACACTGTTCCTCTAAATATGAAACCATTTTGTTTTAAAATCATATATTTAACTTTAAGTTAATATCCTTGTTTGGGTCACGATTGACCCAGACTTTGCTGTTCAAGGGTTAAGTAATTTAGATTTTCAAGAAATATTACTTCTAATATCATGTGGTCTTTGGAAATTTTGCAGATTGTTTGCCAGCAACTTCTTACTTCTTGGATAGGACATTTTCTTTATTTAGACGTTCTTCGTTGTGGATAATCTGGTCTGTACACGATTCCATCGATTCGTGTTCGAATGCAAATCGATCGCGTGTCATCCGTCGGCATTGAACGACTGTTTGCTCGGAGTTTCGTCCCGTTCGTCTTCGAGGAAACAGTCTGACGACTCTTTGGAACACTAAAACCATCAATCTTTGCAAACCTACTCGAGAAAAACTCAATTGTAAATCGTTTTCGTCTTCGAGTGTGTGCAATAGTGTCTCTCCCTTTCTTCACATTCTTTTTCTTCCTCCTTCTACTAACCCTTAACCGATGGACTGCAATTTCTATCACACAAATGGTGAGTTGTATTTCTAAATAAATTTTTCTATTTCCTTTTTTTCTTTAACTCTCAACCTTTCCGTTTAAAAACAAAAAAAGAAAATCTTTTCCTTTATGAAAAAATTCTCTTTATAAAGTAGCTGAAATAAAAGTTGAATAACTAGTTCATTTTATTTTGCTAAATTCTTCCTGGATATAGGACTAGCTGAAGGAGAATTTGAAGCAGGAAAAGTCGCTGATGTGACGGCATAAATTATCAAAGACTGGTTCAGCTCTATCCAAGGCTCTTTTGGAAAGACACGGTAAGCTTTCCGGGAAAATGTGTTCCCGTAAGTATCTCATAAATATAATAAATATCTTCGATTACCAGGCTAGCCATTTTACGAATTTACGAATCGATCCTCTTCGAATCGTCTGTTTTATGGCGAGATAAACGAGGAAAAATTTTGGGAGTTGTGAAATTACTTCTCTTGATAGTTGATATATTTAAAAACCTCTTAACATTTTCAAAGGTATTTCAATTGATAAATATTTAACTTTCATTAAAATTTAAAATTGCAAAATTAAACGAAGATGCTATTATTTTAAAAGGTGCTTGAAATTCTTTAAAAATTCACAAAATCATTCCTTTTTTTTTCAACAATGCGACTGTGCACTAATTATGATAAGAGAGTCATTGAATGCTAGTTGTTAATATTAAATAATAATTTAGATAGAATTACTCTAAACTAGCTGCACATATCGTTAATTGAGCAAAGCAATCGATAGGTAGTCAGGATAAATTAAATCGAATCTGCAAATGCAGACCAATTAGCAGGAGTTTAGCCCCTCTCTAACTCACTGTAATTTACAAGTGACATTTCACTTGTCGATACCTTCGGATGTGTGGTTTCACTTAATCTCTAACGCTCGATACGCGTACAGGGTGGTGCGGGAACGATTAAATAATCAAACTCTCCTAAAATTAACTAAGAAAATAGTACAGCATTTGCAAATGTTCACAAATGTTCTTTTTTTAACTTCTTCCACAATATCTTCGCTGATCCACGAAGGAACATTTCGCTAAGGGAATCATTTTTTCTCTTTTTTATACCACGGTATATCTTAAAATGCACAAAATAATCAAGCACCGTTCCCTTTCTTCTTTTATGCCTGTTAAAAGCATCTAAAAGCGACCTTTTATAATTCGAGCCTTCCCAGTGGCGGTGCATTTAGAAAAGCGTTTTAACCGTAGCACCATTAAGAATTTCATTAAACCCCCATTTTCACCTGTCCTTTCTGTTCCCTGAATCGGTTCAACGTTTGGAAAAAGAATCGACAAACAGGGTGTTCCTTCGAAAGAAACTTTTATCCAAATGGTATAATTAGATTTCTCTATATTTGTCTAATTATCTTTTCTAATTATCTGAAATTTATAATTACTGCTCGAGCATACAAATAGCAAATTTTTCTTTCTATCACAGTTATAATTCTTCGTTTGGTAAAACGAGAGGAACGTATGATTACACGGTTCGTTTTATTCGAGACAAACGAAAACGAGGAGTATCGATAAGTGGCCACTTGTGCTCTTATTTTTTGCCTTTTGAATCGGTAGATCCATTGACAAACGTCGAAAACACTCGTCGAAATCCGTTTGCCACCGACTGCATTCGATACCACCGTCCGAATATAATTAGCAACGAACCGGAGAGAGGATGACATTCTTCGATTACAAATAGTCGATTGCCTCGATTCAATATCACTTCCGGTAAACGACGTTGCGGAACGGTCCGGTGACAAACAGACTCGTCGAGGGGTTTCGCGAAGTGGTCATAGATCGTGCAATTTCAAACGCAGACCATTCTCTTAATTACAGAAAATGAAAGGTGATATATGGAATTACTAATTAAAATAAACAATCATTTCTTTGTCTCTCTAAAATAATAAGAAGTTCAACTATGGTTTCTTACATGGAACGGAAAGGAAATGTAAAAAAAAACACCCATTAGAGTTACCTGGAATGACCGACATAAACAAAAGCAAACATTTACATAAACTCTACGTTATTTAATAAAAGTTACATAAAAACAGAACACGAACGTTCGCGTTATCGGTCACGCGATACGAGATAGAAAATTTACAACAGGGAATAAAAACTAAGTGAAACGGGTCAGTATCACGTTTCCTAACTTCCGGGGAGAATCCCAGTATTTGACACTCGACAATAAAAAGCACGTCGTCGTTAAAGAAAAAAGGGAGGAGAGATTTAGAAGAGCAATTAACCAATTAATTAATTAACTAGTGGTCGAAGAAATAAATCGACTAATAGGGGGTTTTAGATCTAATTTTCCATGGGCTTTCCCTAGGTTCTTCTTACTAGGTTCACCCTAGGGTCTCCTTAAGTTCTTCCTAGGATCTTCCTAGATTCTTCCTAGGCTTTTCCTAGACATTGCAACTACGCCCTATGCAACAAACCTGTGATCCTCACAACGTAGATCTACTCTTATAGACATACAAATTTTATAATTTCAAGTATCCACAGTGGTCTTCGAAAATCGAAGTGTTATATTGAGTAATAGAGCCTCCTCTTGCTATATTGCCATTTCCTTAGTAAAGTTCCCCATGCTCGATACTGTACCTCTGAAACTTTAACATACGTCTCATCTTTTCTTTAATTTTTATTTACCATTTGTTTTCTCAACAATGTGTTCATCTCGGATCCTCCACCAACAATATTTTCAAGCTTCTTCGTTGACCTTCTCGTCATTATTGTCGTCGCTGACGACGACCGTTCTCGTCACAGGCGTCGTTAGGCGTTCAAGAATACTGGACACAATAAATCCTCATTCTCTCAGCCGGCCTACTTTCAATTAAAGTCTGGCTAATTGCCGGCGACGGAACAAGTGGTTTCGTGTTTCAAGCTTGAAAGGTTCGCGCTGAAGATTGTACCATGGGATCCTTATTTCTGGGGAACGTGGAGCATCGTGAACGCCAGCGGCGACGGAATTATGTAAAAAGGCCAATTGTTACTAATTCGCGGAGTTTATATAAAGTTGGGCGACGTTATAGAGACGGCTGGTCGTGCTCGAAAGATCGTATCGTGCGGAAAAACGGTGTTTGAAAAGTGGTGCCTGAAGAAACTTGAACCCTTTAAACGAGCTGTTGTCGAGGCTCGATAGTTAGCCGATACTTGCTTCGTTTGCCGAACGGATACACTGGTGAAAAAGGGTTGCTTTACGAACGAGGTATTTTTATTTCTCTAGTCCGAGATTACTCCTTATAGGGGAAATTTTATTTATTCTGGATTTATCATTTTTTTATTTATGCCGTGCCAATGAACCTATCAAGACTCAATCAAAATCAACCCTTAAACATAAGTTTCACAATTAATAAATAACTCCAT